TTTTTATTCATTAAATAAATTTTTTAAATTTTGTTCCACAGTATCAAATTCTGCAACTTGATAGACATGAAACAAACCCTTTTTTTTTTTGTCTTTACGCAGATGGTTCCAGAGAATTACAGCCCACCGGCCCCTATCACTGCTCCCATCATGGCCCCACTGCCTGCCGACCCACAAACCCAGCCAGTGTCATCTGGAGCCCCTCAGACAGTGGTGCAGGGTCCACACATGGGCCAGGTGCCTTTCTCAGGCCTGCAGCAGCAGCTTCCACCAACAGTGCTCAACTCCAGCGTGGAAGGTGCACCAGGAGCTCCTACAGGAGACAACATCCATGTCAGTAGATCTTTAACACTGGATTTCAAGAAGGAAAGATGAACTTTAGTTTAACTGATTTGTGTTATAATTATTTTGTTAGCCTCTGCAGTCGATCCCCACTGAGAAGATCATGAAGAAACCCCTCCCTGAGGAGCACCTGGTTCTCAAGACTACATTTGAGGGTCTGATCCAGAAGTGTTTGGTTTTAGCCACTGACCCTGTGAGTTACCCAGCTCTACTCAGCTCATATCTTTGCTCACTTCTTCTCATGTTTTACTAATAATTGTCCCTATTTTGACACTCAGTGTCTCACCGTGTAGGAAGACCATGAGAGCTTCATCATTAATTATAGCCATGTTGTGACACAGCTGGTTCTGGCCTCAGATTCCTGTTTAGCAGCAATTCACACTGCACAAGAAATGAATCTGGTCTACAGTAGAGATGGGGGATAAGCAACCTTTTTTAGTCTCTTGTCAATTAATTTATAGAAGAAAATGATTTCCTTTTTGAAAAATATCTTTTCATTCTATAAAGGTTTAAACATCCAGAGGTTAAAGACGTATAACATCAAGTCTACAATAACTTTCACCTTTAACTGCTTTATAAACCTTAGTGCTTCATCTTTCATGTTGTTATTTTTACTGGTTTTATTCATGATTCATTTAAATTGATTCTTGCTATATTTTTGTAATAAATTGCCATAAAAGACAAAGCTGGTTCCTTAAGTTTGAGTATTTTGGCCTGAGATAAGATTTCTCTGCATATCATACATATCTCACACGTCAGTAAATATGAGTCTGATTAAAAAGGTGAATAAATACTGGTCAGTAACTGACCTGGTGCCTCAGCTTGGTAAAAGTGGAGTGTTATCACCCTGTCGGTTTGTCTCCTAACAACTGGCTACCTATGAGATGAACATGGAAATAATTTCATAATATTTAGTGATGCTGTGCAGGAGTCGTGTGCATGGCCCAGACCTCTCATCCTGTGCTGTTTTTATCTGTTCCCAGCAAACTAAGAGAAAACTGGAGGAAGCAAACAAACGCTTGGAAGTTCTCTATGACAAACTCCGAGAGGAGACGGTAAGTGTTCAGTCAGTGAGCTTTGTGTAAAACTCACTCAAACCAACAGGTTATTACATTTAAGATATGTATTTCTACCTGTGTTCAGATATACATAAATTGAAGAGTTACATTTAAC